TGCTGTCTGGATTCCTTCTCATACTTTCCACTGGGCCCTCTAACAATAGGGGTTGAGTTACTCTCGTGCTTTGAACTCTGACTTCTCCTGCTACATCTCTCTGACTGCAGCTGGAGAAAGTTCTCTACTTTTAAGGGCTCATGTGATTAGATTGTGTCCGCCTGCATAATGCAGGGTACTCTTTCTATTTTACAGTCTATAGCCTTAATCAGATCTGCAACGTCCCTTTTGCCATGTAATATAACATATTCACAGGTTCCAGGGATTAAGGCTTTAACATCTTTGGTGGTGGAGGGGAGGGGGGGAATCTGCCTACCACAAGCAGTAAAGGGAAGTAGTGTGCCCAGAATGGAGTGAGCAAGAAGGAGAATGGGAAGAGATGAGGACAGAGGGGTGACAAATACTGAGTTACACACAGAGGTACCCGAGCCTCCTGGACCATGGTGAGGACTTTGTCCTTTATTGTAAGTGAGAAGAGAAATCAATTGAGCAGAGGAGGGATGTGACTGACATGTTATAGTAGGATTCCTTTTTCTGTCTTCTGAGGAACAGACTGCAGGGGAGCCGGGGTGGAAGCAGAGCATCCAGTTATGGGGACACTGCAGTGGTCCAGATGACAGTGACAGTGGCTTGAACCAGGGGGTAGCAGTGGAGCTGGTAAGCAGTGGTTATGTTCTTGAAAATCTGAAGGTGGCAAATTTTGAAGGTGGAGCTGGTTGAATTTCTTGATGGGTTAGATAGGGGGTGTAAGACACGGGACTCAAGGATAACACTGAGGTGCTTGGTCTGAAGGATGAGGTTGTTGTCAACGAAAATGAGAGCCTGTGGGTGGAACAAGATGGGAGAATTGCATCTCGGACATGTTGAGTGTGAAATTCCTCTGGACATCCAAGACAGGTTGAGGAGGCCCTTGGTTATATGAGTCTGGGGGTGAGATTAAGGATGTAGCCCTGGGGCACACCAGCGTTAATTGGTCAAAGAGAAGAGGGGACCAAGAAGGTGTGACCAGTGAGACAGAAGGAAAACCAGGAAAATGTCAGGTTCTGGAAGCCAAGTGAAGAAAGGAGTTACCAATTGTGTCAGTTGTTGCAAAGGCAGCAAATCTAGATAATGCTTCAAAGTAGTTTACTGCAAAGAACAAAGATCTGGGAGGTGGTTGGAAGGAGAGGTTGGGTCAAA